TTTATCTCCGCATGCAAAACATACAATTCAAATCCCATATTATTTGTATTATCTTACAAAATTAAATAATTATATATTATTTTTTGTTGAGTTTTATAAATATATAAAAAAAAACAATAAAATATATATATACATACAGGTGGCGTCAATTCCACACTCATTTATAATAACCTTTAATTTATTTATTTGTTCAAGCATTCCAGTATCAAACGCCAATGCACGAACTGGCTCTATTTCGTGTAATATAATATTATATTGGTTTTCTAGCAACCAAATATGTGCAGACTCAAAAGCATTACTATGACGTTTGTATCGATTTTGTCCTAACTGAGACCACCAATAATGGATCTGTTTTTGTTTAACAGATATATCCAAACCATTACTGACAAGGCGTGAATAGATTTCTCTTGGAAGAAGTTCAATATTATTTATTATGAAATCTTTAACGTCTTGTTGTATAGATACATCAACAGGTTTACTATGCAGGTCTTTATGATAAAGAGTTACTTCGGCCATTTGTGTGGCTTCATTTATTGAGACTTTTATAAAACCACCACACTCAAATCTTTGCATAGATTGAACATCTCTCCATTTCGACGGATCATTATGCTTACGTGGCTTTTTGGCCAAAACATCTCGTTGAGAGCAGATGTACCAATATGTAATTAAGTTTTTACCCGTATAATGGTGATTGTATACCCAATTATACTTATCAATATCTTCAATTAATTCAACAACATCATTTGCAATCTCCTTAGTTGAGCTATGATTATCGATAATTATTTCATAACAGAAACAAAATTCTAGACCATTTTCTTGCGCATCTTCTAATAGCTCTGTAAGAATATGATCCAAATAATCTATATCAATAATTTCTGGCTGGTCTTTGTAGCTTTTATTTATTTCCACACATTTTTTTCGTTTACCAGCTCGTTTTTGGCGACAATTACTACAAGTTTGGAATCGTGAAATATTGACACGATTACTCTCGAATTCTGATATAGGTTTGAAGGTTTTACATCCACCACAGTAATGAGTCAATGTGGATTCCATTTTCAAAAAAGCGAAAAATGGTAAGGAAAAGAAAAAAAAATTTTTTTCGTGCCTATGAAAACTAATTATACTTTATTACTACATAATTAATGCAACAACATTCTTTATTATACAAAATTAATACGACAAAATTCTTTATTACTACATAATTAATGCAACGGAATTATGCAAAATTGTATATATTATTACGATATAACTCCGGCGGTCTCGGGTTACACATAAGCCACACAAGGTCATGTGTCCGTGCTTTTTTTGATGGTTACGCTGGGGAAGAT